ACAATTAGAATGAGTATTTGAAACAACAGTGGTTCACAAGGGTTGTAAAAGCTACCCCAATCAAAGAAACAATGTAACCTTTTCACCACGAGTTTCCCCTTTTCATCACAAATTTACAAAATAGTCCTGTTTATAGTCTGTAGTTCACTTTTAGAAGACTGGGACAAAATAGCCAAAAATTTTTGAGTAAAAACTGAAAATTGACTCAAATTATTTCTGTTGGCTCAAAAAATATTTCCAAAAATATTAAAGAATATGAGAAAAAAAAAATGTTGAAATATGGTTGAGAAAGTCTGGTGGTGAAAAGGTTAATGATGAAGCAGAAGGTGTGTGGGCTAATTTGAACTTTTGTTGGTGTTGATGTATTCTATATAACTTACTGGTAGTAGTCAAAGTTAAAATGACTTATAAGATTGCGCCTGATTGGATACATAACCTTAACACAAAACAATAAAGCCAATCAGAAAGCACCTTGTTTCAACAAATCACGTCTTGTATAAATGCTTTGTCTCAACTGAATGAGTATGCAGACCAGTGCAGTAATAAATGCAAATCATGCTGAAATGGTTAAATTATCAAAATAATATTAAAATCATAAAACATCATCTGTTTATTTTCCAATTTGATTGTAATATGCCTAATTGTATTGGCCTATAGAGTTTTTAAGAATTTGAAACAATTGGGAGTAATGGAGATACATTACAAAATTGTCTATATTGCTCCAACGCTCACCACCATGTATTTCAATGGACTCTGTGAAGCTGCTATGGAATTCTGGTCAAAGACGTGGTGGTGAAAAAAATAACTACTGTAAAATACTTTATTCTAGCTGGAATTAATTTTTGTTGAAAAGAAATTTTGGAGGTTCTATATGGAATTTATTTTCGCTGATTTTTGACGAGTTGAATGTAAAATATAGGAAAAAAGGTATATTCGCTGAATTTTATTTTCACTGAAACATTCCTTCAGCGAAAATAGTGAAAATAAAGTATTTTAGAGTAATACTTAATATGCATGGACAACTTTGAGGTAATCCTGAACAAACAAATTTATATATTTTGGCAACCATCACTGGTTTATATACATGCAGAAGTAGTCATGTTACTCTTCAGGAGAGTTTCAACAGTCATCCCAAAGTACAGTTTCCGAGGGTTTTCGGTCTTCACCAGTGATGGTTGTCAAGTGGTGAATCTGCCTGGATGTTTGCCCCCAAGAATAGTGTATATGCTATGAATGATAAGCATATTGCGTAAACCTCACACTACCATTATTATGATATTTAATTACATTTTTTCTTGATACTTACATGTGTGTTGGTAATGGTAAATTCTCGGTTTGCAAAGATGTCCGTTTCTTCACAGAGATTACATGTAACATTTAAATTATTCCCAAATAAAATTTGATTGCCAAAATCAGGCCAGTACTGATGACATTTCACCTGTATGGACAAACAAAGCACACATTTACAAGACATATTTTTGATTGTACATGTCATAACACTGAAGTTAAGAACAACAAGCCATGCATGGCACAGCCCCCGTTAGTTATCAAATTTAAGATATATAGTTTTGTTTATAGTAATATAGCTGGAATATAACCATGTCAGGAACATGATTTTTTAACATTAAAATGATTGACATTTGTATCTGATCGTCAAACAAGTACTTGTCCATATTGAGAGATATTGCTCTGGAACAGCATTCAAAACCAGCCATTTTGAATACATGTATATATATAACATGATGTATAACGAATATATAAAATTAAAATTTGAATATAATCAGTCAAAGCATTTAAGAGATATGGCTCTAGAAGCCCAATCATTAAAACAAAATGGCCGCCAGTCAGCCATTTTAAATCCAATCTGCAAAATAAAATGACGTGCATTAGGAACCTGTAATGTCTAATGTATGTATCAAGTTTGAACGAAATCCATCCATAAATGCCAGAAATGCTTGATATTTGATGATTTTTTAGCACAATAATGACCACCATTCGACCATTTTGAATAGGATCGTCAAACCAATATATCTGTTTATCTATGACATGATGTATAATGAATCTTTAAAATTTGAATATAATCAGTCAAAACAAGTCAGACATATATCTCTAGAAGCCCAATCATTAAAACAAAATGGTCGCCAGTCAGCCATTTTAAATCCATTCTGAAAAATAAATCATGTGCATCAGGAACCTGTAATGTCTAATATATGTACCAAGTTTGAACGAAATCCATCTGTAAACAGCTGAGAAATGCTTGATATTTGATGATTTCTTAGCACAAAAATGGCCACTATTTGGCCATTTTGAATAGGATCGTCAAACCAATATATCTGTTTATCTATGACATAATGTATAATTAATATTTAAAATTTGAACATAATCAGTGAAAGCAAGTCAGAGATATGGCACGAGAACCACATTCATTAAAATAAAATGGCCACCAGTCAGCCATTTTGAATCTTATCTGAAAAACAATACCCCAGACCATTCGTCCCGGTGTTATCGCTATCGCCACACGAGACTCCAGCTTGTCTCCTATACAATTTGACTGCGCACATCCAGAAAGTAGATGTAGCTGTGATTGGTGGAATACTAATGAGTTGAGTGTCAATCAAACGCCCACGCTATCTTTAGTAAACAAAGTCACGTGACACGCGCCATTTTAGTTTTGGCAGGCGATTTCAAGGCAGCACGCTTAACCCTTTCGTTCACAGGTTGGGAGATATTAGAATGACTGACAATTTCACGCCACTGTTTTACATTATTGGCGGATTTTTCTGCGCTATCAATCTTTCTCTTACAAACTAGACATAGATGAGACGACAGAGTCGCTCCTTTCACAACGTCACACTGGATCAAATTGGAAAGACGATTTCCATAAGTTATCCCTCCTGCTTTTCCTGGCTTGAATAAATTCACACACGACTTTAACTGTCCACAAACTCGAAGACTACACGAACACAGTCTACAATAGTCGTCCGCAACAATATGTATGTATTTCTTCGGTGTACTGATGAACGAATGCACCATGACACGATGTTTCTCGGGTGTCGCCATCGCTGAGAATGCCGCCGGCGCAATTTTTCACCCAACTCGCGATTCTGTTTTGCAACATTTTATCAATATTCCCTTTGACAAAATCGCCGACAAAAGCACCGCTTTGCTGATCTTTTGTTCTATAATTCTTAATGCAAACACCGACCCTAGTAGTAATTAGTAACGTCGCCTAGTACATATGAACGGTCGTCATTGCAAATCGAACATCCTTTTGAAATTTGGACGTCGGGCAGGCGATTTCAAGGCACCGCACTTAAATATTAGCAACATATTTTTCTGAGCGGTTGTTTATTCTCTTTCAAACGAGACATAAATGTGACGACATAGTCGATCCCTTATCCACCGCTAAGAATGCCGCAATGTTTCGTTCGTTTTGCAACATGCCACAAATCGTCGAAAAAAACACCACTTCGACGGAAGCTTGCGTAATAAGGGGGTTAAAACAAGAAAACAAATGCCATGTTTAATACATATCGACCTGTTTTACTTGCGAAAGATAACGGAACATGAAGTCGTTTCGTGCGACTTCGGAACCCGAAGGAACACACCAACAACGTTGAATTTACCCGCTATCTTCCAAATATGGTATATTAATTTATTCAGTTGTTTATTTAGAGTGACGTCCGCGGTCGAATGCGATTGGCTATCGATGTCAGTGCAAAGGTCATATGAATATTAAAATTAAGTGGGCGGAAGGAAAATTGTATAGGAGACAAGCTGGAGTCTCGTGTGGCGATAGCGATAACACCGGGACGAATGGTCTGGGGTACAGTCTAACTGTCTGGGTTTCAGAAAGCCTATTTTTGGCATCGTTTTTATCATGCTTGAGTTTTTGTGTCACAAATCCACCATAAATAAGAATTATTCATCAAGTTCAAAATGAACCATTTGACCACAAAAATCAACTTTGTCACCATTCACCAAATAATTTTTTCAAGCTTTGTTGAAGATTTATAGACAATGGATTATGTCCATCCGGTCCAAAATTAACAAAGTTTTTGAAAAGTACTGTAAAATCTGTATTAGAAGCCGAGGCTTCTATTAAAATGGTACAATGCAACAAAGGGAATGCGGCTTCTATTAGAGCATCTACACATATGAGAAATGATGAATTTTTGGTTCTCAATTATTCAAAAAGAATGGGTGCGACTTCTATTAGGGATGCGGCTTCTAATACAGATTTTACGGTACGTAAAAATAAACATTCAAAAGGTTAAAGTTCCTCTCGATTTTCAGTGTTATGATGGTCATTTTTCAAAATCAACAAAAATCATGACATAATTGTGGTGCACCATATACCATGGGTCTATTTTTGCACATGTTTTATGTTTACGGTTTGTTCTTTCAAATCTAAAAAATTGTACTGTATGATGAACACTGATAACTTTTAAACCAAATGTCTATTCTATTGTCGTTATTAGTAAGAGTATAATTCACTGACCAATCAGAATAGAGCATGAAGTCATGTGATATCACAGGACATGAAACCTCTTTATCATTTCAGTGTCTTTTTCAACCGTCTGGTTCTTTCATATCTTGAAAAAAAAAACGGTGCCAGTCTGTACATTGTTTAGAATCATTAGCATGCAATACAAGTCAGATCAGTGCCCACTACTACAAATTCTCACAATTGAGAAATAAATCTAATTTAAATTAATTTTAAAAAAACCCACATAGAAAACACAAATAATTAGAATTACTGTAAAATGCTTTATTTTCGCTTGGAATTAATTTTCACTGAAGGAATGATTCAGTGAAAATAAAATCTAGGGAATCTACATTGTACCTTTTTTCCATACTTCACTTTCAACTCGTCAAAAATCAGTGAAAATAAATTCCATACAAAACACCCAAAGTCTTTTCAGCGAAAATTAATTCCAGCTAAAATGAAGTATTTCACAGTATTCGAACTACTTTGCTGGCTATGAAATAAGGATCAATAATACCAATGTTTTATAGCTGTTGGTGTGATGTGAACACGCCTTTGCTGTAACTATTGAATGTATTTTTGTAAATGTTTTTATATAAATATTATATATATCTTTTTGCATACTGTAGAGAGTATACTGGTACGGTAGTCATATTTATTTTTTTTAGATTTATATTTGTATGTTATATGTTTGTTTTTTTTAATTGCAAGTGCCATTGACCAGAAATCAAACATTGATGAAGTCGTCCTTTCCAGCTGAAACTTGTATTCTCTGCTATATGGTGTTGAAAGTCCATGTCATAAACCAAATGAAGTAGTTAAATCTTGATTGTTTCCATAGACAACCTAAAATCTTGTCATGGATTTCAGTTTCTAACTCTGTATCTGTTGCATTTGATATACTGTAAAATGACTAATTTTCACTGGGTTTAAATTCCGCTGATTTACCATTTCAGGCATATTCAGTGGGTTTTAAATTCACGGTTTTATCATTTAGATAATGTGTTCTATGCTCAATTTTACATATTCAGTGGGTTTTAATTTAGCGCATTTTCCAGTCAGCGAAATAAGCAAAATTAAAACCCAGTGAGAAATTAACCCTTTTACAGTAACTGTATATGCACAAGATAATATTTTAGCATTCCTGTAAAATTGGTTGCTATGTAAACATTGTTGCTGGATAAGACTCATCAGAGTGAGCTTTTCAAATGAACCTCCCTGGAATAAAATGGAATAGAATAAATGAAACAGTAAAATAAATGAACCAATAACACTCAATTCTACAGCCAGAATTTCAGATGGTCAAGCTTATAACATTTGATCAAACCATCCATTATTGCATGTTCTTAAGTTGAAGTTCAAATATTTCCTACCTAAATTGATGTACCCTTAAACATTCAATATGCAAGTGCTTTCTTTTGTCTGCAAAAATGGCTGCCAATTTGATTTTTTTCCATGGTAATGTGTTGCATATACGGGCAATTCTAAACTCATACTTGGAAATTTTGTAAATTCTGACTAAATCTTGCTTAATTCTCTCATTTTTTTTGTATGGTCAACAAATTGGTAACGAGATTGAGATTGGTAACGTTTGTAAATATCTGAATATGTAACAAAGTACGTCATAGAATTTGTATGCATGTTACAATATCAAGGAAGTTGATGAAAATATCAAAGTGATTTTCCTCGTTGGACATTGATTACAAAGCCCCTCTGCAGGCATTACCTTGCACCAATAATTTTAGAAGGCATTGCTCATGAAAATGAAGTTTGTTCATTATGTGAAAGTATACCAGGAAGTATAATTTTTTTTTTCTGAGAAGCAGGTATGGTAAATGTTATATAGTGTAGGCTAAATGAGTTTATACATAATTGTAGCATGTTACCACATGTATTTGTTTAAAATAAACATTCATTTTAACAAATGAACTTGTTTTGAGATTTTTATTTTTGATCACATTGTGTAATTCAGATTTAGGTAAAAACTTCATGAAATACTATTCCATAATATTTTACCCAAGGTAAAGGTATTTTAACTTTGTTCATTTTTTATGAAAACCTGTAAGATAATAATTAAAGAACCATTTGCTGCATTTTTACCTAATTTTGTGTTCAA